TCTTACACTTCTTATCTATGCACGTCTCAATGTTTCCGGGGCTTTGCTATCAGTACCGTTGTTATACACAGCTGCTTGGAACCGTACAATATATAATGTTTAACATCATCTTGCCACTATGAATCAAATATGTCGTACGCACGCGGATACTCCCCTAAAATATATACGCATATCGTGCTATTGTGCAGATTGCTTCTAATAATGTGTCTTGGTGACAGAGAATGTTCTGCCTCGGTATTCAATATACTATATTTTAATTAATGATACGGCACTCTATCAAGTCCGAGCGTCCACGGTCTTAAAAATTTCGTTGAGCACTTTCTGAAGTTTTTTTTTTGGAAGGTTTTACAACTATTTAAGTAACCATTATTGTCAAAGAGATAAAGAAGAACACTATATTACATATGGTTGTTAATTAATATGTAAAACATTCAACGACGCGTCGTCCTTAATGGTTTGATCAATAACAATATTCCATACTAAATATTATGTAAACCTACCTATATAACTTATATAATATACTTAATGTACACAAGAGTATGCAATCATTTTATTTTATTTTAAATTTATTGCAATTCTATTTCGTATAACATTAAAAAAAAAAAAAAAAAATGCTTTTAGATGACCATTATTTGGTACTGATAATAATATTAAATCTTCAAAGATTTATTAGAAGAAAAAAAGATTTATTTCTTCATCTTATTGTGTAAATAAATTAACATATTATTATAATGTATTATCATTTCTGTTTGATCGGAATGTAACATTCTTTTTAAAAACTATATAATGATAATAATTCTTAGAATTAGTACTTCGATTTGTTTAGGGCGTTTAATAACAATTAAACAAATTTAATCATTATAGTGATTTTAAAATAAATTAAAACCAGAAATAATGTTAAGTTTTCATTATGGACATTTTAAAACGGAATTTTTAATGATATAAAATCTATAAATATAGGTAATTTAATATTATATATGCCTAAATAACATACTACGATTATTATTATTAATTAGTGAAAATTTTTCCCAGCCGATAAAAATACATACATTTTAGTATTTTACACCCTCGTCATGATATAATTAGTGAGTTATTATATTAACTCTAAGCTCGATAGGGGTTGAAATATCTATAAAGTGTAAAGTTTTAACACGGTGAATAAGTAAATAAATATAAAATAATATTAATGATGATTCTATAAATAAAGAAAATTATTTTCCACTCAAAAAATTGTGATGCTTGAAATAATATTTAGCATAAATTTAATCATATTGTTACTAAAATATTTTAATAGTTTAATTTAAACTTTATCGTTATATGTACTTATTATTTACATTGTTGAATCTTCCAGTAAACTTAAAATATTTCAATTTTCTATATATTACATTCAATTAATCATTTTAAGTTTACAATTAATATAGATTATATATCTGTAAAAATTATATATTATATAGGTATCTGGTATATATATCCTTAAAGGAATGTATTTTTATTCCAATGGGGGACAGTAATACTACTTGTGTTATAAATATCTATTATGTATATAGTCATAATTGTACATGAATACTTTGAATTTTCAGTGAATGTCCACAGGGGAAAAAGTTAGTACTTCACCTACGGAGTTCGGCTATAGAATGCCATAATATTTAACAAATAACAATTGTATAACGCTTAATTTTGTACGTTAAAAACACAAATATTTAGAAATATTTAAATGTGATAGTGTTTACAATCAATAACTTTATAGATATGTTTTTTTTTTTTTTTATCTAACAATGTTCCAATATTATTAAATGTTATACAAGCTCATTATAAATGTAAATATCTCTGGAAATGAATAGGATTATTACAGCTGGGAGCTGGATGACCGTTTCAGGTGACTAATTTAAAATGATTGAGCACTTTACGTCGTTACCCTTTCCGTCTTAAACATAAACAACAAAGTCATAATCTATAATATGTATATATATATACATCATTTCCATTTATAATTAGTTCATCAAACAGAAAATATATAGCGTTATAATTGGCTATAACGTCGTCATAATAGCATAGGACCAATATTGGTTATAATATTTATTTTTTCTATTTGTAACATCAATAGTGACACGCGTATTTTTGTCTTTTTCAAGAACAGTTCTAAATGCTAATATTATGTATATAATATCAATAGGATATATAGATTTATATAAAATAAATTTAATACAAAAAGGGTAAGTGGATATAAATTAAACAAATTTGAAACAAACAACCTGAAAAAAAAAATAAAAAATAATTTTAATGTTAAATAAAAGTACAAAATCGCGGGATTGCATTCATATAATTGATCTTTCCACTTTTCTAACCATGATGATTATTACAATAGAGTAATTATTATGTATCAACCACTATTCTTTATTGATGCAAACGGAGTGATTGAGTTATCTGTTTAATGTTTAAACATTTTTGTTATAATAATAATAATAATAACAACAACAAAAACAAAGATCTTAAACTAATAAATTTCTTTATTATTACTATTTAACGTATTTTAATATTATAATTTAAAAAAAAAAAATGTGATTTGATAATTGAATAATTTTAAATATGTATCAAGAATCAATATCATTTGCATCTAGTAAAAATATAAACATAAATTCTTATTTTTATGTTTAATATTTTCCTTTAAAACTATATTCCTATTTACTTATTTTATTATTTATGAAAACCGTACTTTATTAAAAATATTATTTTTTATTTTGTGGAAACATATAATACTATACGAATATATATTTATATGTATATAGTTATATATATACTATTTATTATTATAATAGTGAATGTAAAATTCATTGTTTACAATATACTATTATTACAGATATATTTTGCTTTCATACTTTTACATTTAAAAATTAATGTATTAATAATATATACATATTCAAAAAAACTTAAAGTATAAAATATTTAGGTGTAAGACTAAAGTTTTGAGTATTTCAATTATATACAGTCGTATATACAGGTAAGTTATAGATGTCTATAGATAATTATTACAAATTATTAATAAGGTTTATTCAATTAATTGGAAGGTTAGTTAAATTAACAAAAGTTGTTAGTAAAAGTTATACCATAATTATTATAATTTCCATGAGAGAAAGTTTTCAATAGTTTTACATATCTACAAATTAGTTTATTACAATTATTGTCAAATATATAATCGTTAGTACAAAAATTTTTTTAAAAATAACATTATTTTAATTTCCACAGTAATTAATTTATTGATAACTTACAAACCTAGCTCGTTAAAAGTACAAAAGATATTTACCTGAGTGTACTATATAATTTGTTAAAAGTATAGAACTTTAAACAGTAATTATATATTTTATCAACCGCTTTTCGTAGACGATGCACATGCAATCAGCACGTAGCTAATGCATGTTAGAATTAATGGTTTGTTTCAAATGATTTATTCATAGTAGAAAAAAGTTTTTGCTTTCCTTCGTTTTCGTTCACACAATTTTTTGTTAGCATAATGCTTTAGGCCGGTATAATAAGTGTTCTACGCCCATCGCCCCATAATTATGTCATTTTTCTATAAACATTGAATGTAAATCGTCCGTTTCGCATGTTTACAAAAATAATTTATTCAAGAGATACAATGGCATTTTGACTGCTGTACAGTTTATCACTTTATTGTCAAGCATTCATTACAATAAATTTCGTAGCGAAAAAATAAATAATATTCACAAGAATTTTACTACGAACACCGCGGTACTGCACCTACTATAGCCATTCATAATAATGGAATATAATAACACTATAATAGTCATTCGACTGTGATATTACATTAGTATTTGGGGCCGTAGTTTAGTAGGTACTCAACTATAATATGTGCTGAAAAATATAATTAAATATAATTATTAATTTCGTAATGCATTGATGTATTACTATTTCAGGTCTCTGCAATACTAACAACTAAATAACAATAATAAAAAAAAAAAAAAAACAAATAATAGGGATCGTAAAAATAATCGTTGAATTTAATTACTGTGTTGTAAAAACGCGTAATCACGTAAAATTTGTCTCTTTTCAATATACGCGTTCCAAATCGTTCCGAAATCACTCAACCGAACCGAAACAAACTGCGCGATGTAATACTCGTATGTGAATACATTATAGGCCGGTACAACGCAGCGGCGCTGTTTTTATTGTAAATAATAAACTGCGACGAGGTGTTGACCGATAAACCGTTTTGCACATAACATAATAATAATAATAATAATAATAATAACAATAGTAATAATATACACCCCTAGTTAATCGTTGCTTCCGTTGGTTTACGTGTGCATATCGTGATGGTTGATAGCTGGGGTGACATGCGTTACCGGAAGTGAAATGTTCGGTGGCAAAAATAATTCGTCGTATAAGACCAAAATGTTAGTACACATTAATGTAATGCGTAAATGGGAACTTTAGCAAAACGTATAACAATACCGCATGGGTAAAAACTTAACAGTGTAATTTTATAAAAGATGTAAAATAACTATCCACGTGTCGCGTGATCGGTGCAATTTCGAAAGAAAAAAGCCCAAACACAATGCAAGCGGGCAGCGACACACACACACACACACACACACACACACACACACACACTTAGTCTTCGGAAGTGGTTGTCGTAGAAGTCGGGATCTAGAATATGATATAATGGGGTATTATAATAGTAGTCGGTGGACAGAGAGCGGTGGGACCTGAGTGGAGGGTGTAGAGCACCGGGTGTGCGATATACAAAGGGTTCCGCCGCTGGCGCGGTGCACTATCGATCGACGAGGCGGCAGCGGTGGCGATGGCGGCGGCCAAGGGGTAGCGAAAAACGCTCGGCACGTTTTTACCCCGACGGCGGCGGCGGCTACACTACTACCAGTTACCACTACCATTATTACCACGCTTCTACCACTATATGTATACTATACCATTACCGCTACTGCCGACGCCGCTACTGCTGCCTGTGTGCTGTGCCGCTTTGCATACGCCGGAAAGCTCTCGTCGAGTACAGTCGTTGTCGTCGTTACCATCGTGTCCGTCGAAAGTCGTTTGTAATTTCCGCTTTCGTTTCTATATAGAGACGCAAGGGACAACGTTGTTTTTTTTTAATATTTAAATATAATAAAATATATTGAGTAATATCAAAATAAAATTTCATACGGTTTTTACGGTCGCTGAAAGATGTCTTCGATGTAAATATCATCCACAACCAAGACAAAAATTCATCTCACGCTATAGAATCTACGACTCCACGTCGCTGTTTTACTTAGGTAAGACACGTCAATTTCAATTCAATGAATATATTATAACATACGTTGTTAATGTTTTTTTTGTGTATTTTAATTTTTAAGTGATTTTTTTAAGTTAGGCGTTTTATGTTTTTTATTTGTTTATTGTGTTCTTTTTCGAAAATTCCGCGAATAAGGTAGTTTTTTCTTTAATATATTTTAAATATTATTTACATTTAGCTCATCTAATGTGTACATGCGCTGATACTATAGTCTTTAATTTATAGTATTATTGTAATTGTTATTTAGACGCCACGCCGGTATACGATCCGATTAAACGACAATTTTCCGCTTTGCACATTGTGCGTATAACTGCCACACACTCATACCAGTCGTACTGAGTGTCAATTATATTAATAATGTATGCAATTAAATAATCATTTTACACAGCTTTATAGTTTTCAATAAGTTAGATAAGTCAATAATTTAGACTCATATTTTTAATAAAATAAAATTAAGATCTCACATAACCATGTAAAATTTTTACAAATATTAATTTTTGATGTTTATTTTTAAATAAACGATTTAAATACACAATACACATATTATAAATAACTGATAATACTTTCGTGACTTAATACTAGATCAAAAAACAAAATTAATAATAAAACAATAACTTACACTATAGTTGTTTTAGTAGTTAATTGTTTACATTTTACCCAACTCAATAAATTCATTGACTTCTGTGTTTACGAAAACATATTTTAACCAATAACTCTTGCTATAGTCAAACTAGAAATTCGTATATATACATTAATATTTAATTATTAATTCATCTGCAATGATTTTAAAGTAAAGAATTTATAAATACAGAACGTTGCATTGATTAAATATAGTGTAAATTAAATGATAATGTTAACATTTAATGATTTGTTAATATTGATAAGCTTTTGGGACGTCGATTATAAGAATAAATTACCCATTTAAGTAATTAAAACGAATAAAAAGTTTTTCATCTTTATATGTTGTCTTATAGAATTTTATAAATCTCTAGAAATACTCAAATTATAAAATATATTATGATTTTTTATTAGTATTCACAATAAAACGTTTTTACAATACTTGTTCAAAAGGTAAGAGTATAATTATTATGAAAATGTATTTTCTGTTTCACCAAAAATTAATTTAGGATTGTAAAGTTGCATTATCATGTATAAAACCCTGCTCCAAAAATGTTCCAAATAAAGCTGTGAGCTTTTGAAAAATATTTCGGTCTCCGCGGGATAAAATATTCTATTGATCGTTGGCTCTTCGAGTACATAATACACAATATATATCTGCTTTTCACTAACAATGTAAAATAACTTTTGATTCGTTTATTTTTAAGTTTTTGTCATCTCTGTTATTGTCTATAGAATCTTAACAACCGTAAAAACAAATAAAACATTTTAAAATTTGTTACATTAAAAAATAAATGTTTATAATTTATAATTTAATATTATTTACTATAAACTATTTAATTTTTATAATATAAACAATTATTTTGACACTGAAAAAAAATGTAAACTATAAACTATGTAGCACTTATATAAAACTTCAGTTATTAGCTATAATAATAAATTATGAAAAATATTTAAATAATTTTAATCTAACGACTAAAAGTCGTTGTTATACATCTATAATATGTATTATATTCTATATATAGGTCTAAATTATTGTATGAGTGGTCTAATAGTTTAAAACTCAGATGCATATTATTTACGAATTAATAAGTAATATAAAGTAATAGCTCACAAATAAATTATCGGAGTATAAAATAATGAAAAATAATATTATTGTATTATGATAAACAAATTACATTAAAATCATTTATAATAACGTTAAATTTTAATAATTTTTAGTTATATACTATATTATATAATATTTAATAACTCATTTAATGTAACAAAAAGTTCCGCAAGATATAAAATTATTATTAATGAATGATTAACTATTTCTACATTCCAAGTAAATAAATGTACATATTTTGTTTTTACCATTAAAACAAATATTTAAACATTTTATTAATGTATCAAAAATTAAACTTTTATTTTATTAATGTGTTGTCTTTATATTTAATAATAATTTACTGCTCTTTTAAACTTCACGGGTGGGAATCAACATTGAGTTGTTTTTAATATAAACAAAAACTTATCAAGATCCTATTCTGGAAATTTATCAGCTTATTGCGTCAGATTGTATTTATAAAACAACATGATTATGTATTTTACTCTATCAAAACATATACATACATTAAATATAGAAACATAAATAAAACGATATATAGTTTATAAAAATTTGAAGAACTTTAGAAGCCTACAGAACGAGATATAATTAAAATTACTTTCATGATTTAAAAAAAATAATTTAACTCATGACAGAAATTTAATTAAAAATTAAGTGATTATTAATTTTTGAAACTTTAACAAGCTGGTTTGTTAGTTCAATATTTTAATTCCAGATGCCTCTCGATTTATTAATGCTTTTAAATACTTACATTTAAAGGTCAACTATAAAAGATGTTAATAATAAGCAATCAGATATAACTATATATATATATATATATATATATATATATATATATATAGAGAGAGAGAGAGAGAGAGAGAGTAATGTATTTATTATTGATAAACTAATTTTAACTATTCTTAAAAAAAGTTTCTAGCAGGTAATGATAACACAATACGATCCCATTTTTTTGTTTAAGACAGCACTTATTACATGAATGGGAGTTAGAAAAAAATTATTATGACTTAATGCATTAACAGAACTAAAAAGTAATAATTAATATACCTATATCTACTACCTATATATGTGGTATTATTATAAAGAAAAATAATACCGCATCAAACGGTGTGGCACATATATTTTATCTCTTGTCTTTTGTTGAACATATCTCATCCTACTTGTACACAAACAAATACACTGTAACAAAACATAGTAATACTGAAATGTATATAATAATATGACGTGTATGCTGTATATACTATGTACGTTGTGTCTTAACGTGTGAATAATTGCGCACGAATATTGCATGTACGCAACCCTTTGTGTGTGTGTGTGGAAAATTTGCAAGTCGCGAAAAAACGCGAGACGAAAATTAAACGTAACATAACATCTACCTATATAAATAGGTAAGTATATGTGTTTGTGCACAAATTCAAAACTTTTGCAAGCATATAATGAGAGTATGCCAGCGGTGAGATTTTCTCCCGGCGGCCCGGCCGGCAAGGTGTTTTATTAATATCGCGTATAACCTATACGTTATATGTTGTATGCCTTATACAACTAACACGGCGTTGTACAGTACTATGTATTTAAGTGTATGAGTATGCATGTACAATAGAAGCGTAAAAAATAGAGGATGTTGAAAAAATAAATATGTGTTGAGACAATAATACAATATACCCCGGCCGAACACACCACGAACGCGGTTCGCTACTACACACATACTCATATACACTCGTCGCGTGCGTATACTCGTAATATATGTCTGGTTCGATATCGTAAATCATGGTCAAATGGAAATTTATGTGTAAGGTCGGAAGGAGAGGGATAAGCGACCACCTCAGGACAGTGACGGTGGCGTCGGTGACGGTGAGGTTACGGGGAACACGAGGGTACGCGCGTAGAGGGAAGTCACGGCTGAAACCCGATCGTGATATAAGGACGCGACTGAGTATGTATATATCTGTGTACGTGCGAGCGTGTGTGTTTGTATAGGAAAGACGGAGAAGACTCTGCGTTACACTGCAGCAACAACGCTCCCGATTGGCGAGGGGAGTCGGTGTTATTGGAAAGAGATGAAGAGAAAATCGAAAGAAAAGTAAAACTGCTACACTGTGGATTTTTTTTTCTTGTTCCCCTTATTTCTTATAATATAATATTGTACGATATTATTATACGCCGTTCGATCCGTTTTGGTGAACAGAAGCGATTCGATGTGCGTACATGTACGTTTTTAAAGAATATACTATAAAGTATAAACAAGAGATGCGTATGTATTATACGCAGTAGCCACGCGGTCGATTGCAGAAAAAAACTAAAAACTAAAACTGTATATTATTATATAACTCACGCACACACAAACATGCAATATATATATATATAAACATTGTCGAATACAAATAGCATACTATATATGTCAGTACTTCCGGGTCTTTCTCTTAAACATCTCAACTTCTATGAATATCTATGATGTATATATTTGATTTTCTGATCTAACCTTCGGCTAATTTTCAATATCACTGTGCCAACGTGCTAGTGCTGATTGTTCAGGAAAATTTCTAGTATACACAATATTTTAGTCGAGAGTATATTGGCAGGAGTCACCTGGCTGACGAGACGTCCATTTCCTGCACCACAAAAGGGTCATAGTAACAGGAGTAACTTATGCATAGTACCCGGTACTCTTCGATTTCCGACTCCTTCGCCGTCGGACGGCATTATTATTGATAAACATGCGATCGTATTTCATCAAAAACAACGAAAACATAATATTATAATATTAATTTCAATAGATTACATTATATTGAAACCAAATCTTGAATAGCATCTCATAAGAATCGAGTTTATTGAACTAATTGAACTAATAAGGTAACTCTTTCAGAATGAACTTAT